TGGCAGGCACTCATAAACGATAATTACACATAGTAGCTCACCTAATGGTTATATTTTCTTTCTAACGATGAAAACACAATCTACGAGCTCTGCAGCTCACCCGAGAGAGTTGCAGTGACATCTAAAAGGTCTCAGGGACAGGATTTAACTTTGAACGTAGGTACACCTCAAACATTTCAGAAATTCTCTAACAACCTGAAAAGGGGAGAAATCATGGAAGTCCTGTTAATGCCAACACTGTGACAATATCAGTGAAGTCAATAAATTTAAAAAAAAATACACAAAAAAACACCAACTTTTGGGGTCTGAAGTACACACAGCATGTCAACCTGGTCCAATCTATTTATTTTCAATTTTAAAAAAACAATCAAGTGTATAAAATTGACACCTCACGGACTGCCCTTCACCTTGACCCCATCGCATCCCCTAGTCCCTGATTTCTGAGTGTCAGCTGAAAAAGTGCAGGTCACGAGTGGGTAATGGTGAGGGGCGTCTGGTGCCCACATTGCTGAGTCATTGTCTTGTGTCTCACATTTCCACCTAGTTCAAATGTGCTGTATCAGAATACTATCCTTCCTTCCAGAATGATACCAACCTGAATTAAAGCCTCACTCTGGGACTTTAACACTTCCAAAAAAGACCTCTGAACAATCTGTGTGAGTCAGGGTTCTTCAGAGGAACAGAAGCAAAAATGTGTAGACATATAGAAAGAGATTTATTTTAAGGAATTGGCTCACACAGCTATGGAGGCTGGCAAGTCCAAAATCTGCAAAGTGAGCCAGGAGGCTGGAGAACCAGGAAGAGCCAATGTTGCAGTTGAAATCCAAAGGCCATCTGCTGGATGAATACCCTCATGCTTGAGGAATCACTCTTTTGTTCTATTCAGATCTTCAACTGATTGGACGAGGCCCACCCACATTGTGGAGGCCAACGTGCTCTTCTCAAAGTCCACCAACTGAAAGTTTAATCTCATCTTAAGACCACTCTGGCAGAGACATCCAGAATAACGCTTGACCAAATATCTTGGCACTGGGGGCCAGCCAATTTGACATAAAACTTAACCATCACACAGTCCACCTGGGAATGACTACATCCACTGAAGTCAAACCTAAGCACTTTCCTTTAAATGAGGCTTTGAACTTGTATGCCAGGCCTCCTGGCTCAAATCTGTAAACCAACCTGGCTCATAATCCTAACAACCTTTGTCATCTGGTTTCACAAACATGGGCAGACAAGAAACCAGAGAAGGAGGTAGAGTGAGGACTTGCTACGGGGAGATTCCAGAAATGGTGAGAAGCAGAGTTCACAGCCTGACAGTGAGAAGGAGATGGAAGGTCTCTAAGGAGTAGATGGAAGAACTAAAAAACCTCAGCAACATAGGGGCCTTTGAGTATTAAGACAGATTGTTCTGTTGGCTTCATGGAGTGAAGCTATAATAGAGTCCAGTACAGCAACTAGTGTTCTTAATTATATACCTGGGTTTCTAAGTAACAACACAATTGGACCTGCTGTTACAAGGGGTGGGGTGGAGAAAAAGGACAGTTTCTAAAGGGTGGTGAGGAGGCATGGTAGTCGCTGGCTGATATGCTCTCCCTCCCCTCACTCAAACCCTCACTTGTGCATGGGGAATACAGTGGATTCTGTCGGTTCTTTTTTTTTTTTTTTTTTAATTAGCCATTCCCCCCTTTCTCAGGGCAATCAGGGTATCCATGTGTCATTTTAAGAGAACAAGGCTCTTCATCTTCAGGCAGGTGGTTTTAGTGATATCGATACCACTCCTCCAGGGGTGGCCCTTATAGCTTAAGCCAGTCTAAACATACTATTTATCTTCTGACCTTGCTTCAGAAAGAAGCACATATTCCAAGTGGCATTGCGGTGATGCAACCGAATGTTTGCTGGGGGTTTTGAGAAAAAGAGACCTTTTTTCCTTCTCCTCCCTAGGTGGTATCTCATGAGGGTGCGGTCTAGAACTGTGGTAGCCATTCTGCTCCTAGAAGGGGGAGCCTGGAACTTTCAAGTGGTGGGAAGGAGTTCTCTACATGGAGATTGAGGATAAAGCCAAAATGACTAAAGGCAGAGAGAATAAATGGAGAGAAGTTGGGTTCTTATAACGTCATATGAGCAACTTGATCAAACCTCACCTGAAGCTGCATGGGGTTTTTTATGTCAATGGATTCCTTTTCTTATTAAACCAATTTGAAGTGATTTTTGGTTATTTGCTGTGACACGATGCCTGACTGATATGAGATGACCCCTGAACACCTAATCTTGAAAAAAGGAGACTTTTGACTAGAGAAGAATGGGTTGAAGGGGTAGTCTAACAATAGTAACAGTTTGACTCAGAAAAAAATGTATGAGGCACCTGGTATGTTCTGGAAACTGCTCAGAGCTTCACTGATTTATCACAAAAGCAAATGAGGTTGGTGTTACAATTATCTCATTTTATTTATTTTTAAAAATTTTATTTATTTATTCATGAGAGATACAGAGAGAGAGGAACAGAGACACAGGCAGAGGGAGAAGTAGGCTCCATGCAGGGAGCCTGATGTGGGACTCGATCCCAGGACTCCAGGATCACACCCTGGGCCAAAGGCAGACGCTCAACCACTGAGCCACCCAGGCGTCCCCTGATTATCTCATTTTAAATGAAGATGCTGAAGCTCAGAAGGATGATGTGAATTGTTTAGGGTTGCACAGCTGGGAAATGGACTGGACAGGCCCAGCTGCCCAGGAATACCCTCTTCTCATGCTGCCAGGCAGACAGCTGAACAGAAAAGGGTATGAACTGAAAGACCACGGTCAGAGGAGAGTGGGACCTCTCAACTATACAGTGATGAGGCGAAGATGGTCAGGCAATGATGCTAAGAAGCTGCTGGGACTCAGTGGCAGACAAGGTTTGGTTGCACCCATTATTAGCATTCAATGGTTCCCGTGTCGTTCTGAGGTTCCTCATCATCACTACCAATAGAGCTATGCCCAACCACTGCCCAGGTTCAAATCAGGCTATACTGTCAAGATATTCATAATCTATTTATTCATGCAGCAGCCACTGGAGTATCTATGCCTCAAGCACCCTTCCTGGTGAGCAAGGCAGTTGAGGTAACCACCCATGTGGACTTTAACAGTTGAGTTGGGAAAGACATCGGGGACAAATAATAACACCTGAAGCAAATGAGTACATCTGTAAATAATTATCATGTGTGGCAATAGCACCAACTGTGCAAAGGGCTATCTATAAGAGACAAGAACAGAGAGTTACAAAAAGAACAAGGAGGAAACCTGCTTTCGATAGGAAGGGTGTGTGCAAGTGTGTGTGTGGGGGGGGCTAAAGCCTCTCCTTGGAAGTGTGATTTAAGCAGAGGCCTTGAAGTTTAAATGCGCAGGCGCATTCTATTTTTTTTTAAGATTTTATTTATTTATTCATGAAGATAGAGAGAGACTGAGGGGCAGAGACACAGGCAGAGGGAGAAGCAGGCCCCCTGCAGGGAGCCTGACTTGGGACTCGATCCCAGGTCTCCAGGGTCACACCCTGGGCCAAAGGTGGCGCTAAAGCGCTGAGCTACCCAGGCAGGTGCATTCTAAGCAGAAGGAACCGCACGTGCAAAAATAGGGAACTGGATTTGCATGTTTAAGGAACTGAAAGAGGACAGTTACTGGGTGAGAGGGCAGGCCGGAGCTGGAACTTGCAGGGTCTTGAGGTCCCCATTGGGACTTTTTAGTTCTCATTTTGTCATTCCCTCTTGAATGTTTCCTGACAGTCCTCCTGGGGAGCGGGGGGGGGTGGGGGCAGACCACACGCAGGGAATAGCGATACGGTGACTAGTCGTGATGATGAGAGTGAATGCCTAATACTTACCGAGGACTTACCACTTACTATTAGAACTCTTGTCCAAGATTGGAGGACGAGTCTCCTGGATGTAGGCAGCTAGTTGAGAAGTTCCCAACCTGATGGATCAAAAGAACCTCATAAGGAGTTAAAGCCAGACCCTTGGGGATCCCTGGGTGGCCCAGCGGTTTAGCACCTGCCTTAGGCCCAGGGCATCATCCTGGAGACCTGGGATCGAGTCCCACGTCAGGCTCCCTGCATGGGGCCTGCTTCTCCCAATGCCTGTGTCTCTGCCTCTCTCTCTTTCTATCATGAATATATATATATATATATATATTTAAAGCCAGACCCTTCTCCTAGAGATTCGGCTTCGGCAGGTGCCACCCTCCCGGAATTCGTTTTTAACCACGTTGACAAACACCAGCCTACAGCAGCGTGGTGCAAGAGCTTTTTTTCCCCCTTCTTTTTCCTAGACAGGTCCTGGTTTGGGTCGGTGGCCGCTTCACTGCTTTTGCAGGTGTGTCACCTCGTGCAAACTGCGCCACCTCTCTGGGCGTCAGTCTCCCCTTCTGACACACGCAGCTCACGACAGCCCTGGCGCTCATGTGCAGCGGAGGTGAGCTACGATTCCAAGGGAGCGATGATGACAGTAACAGGGTGATGGTGAAGATGCCTCATGATCAGGGCTCCTGGGTCACAGTGGGGGGGGGGGGGCTTGGAGGACTGTCCTGAGACAGGGCCTAGCGCTTCGGACCTCCCCCCCCCCACCCCGCCTAAGGTAGGGTTGTTGGATGAAATGCAGGAGCTCCAGTTAAAGTGGAATCTCAGATCACGAAAACAATTTTAGGGTAAGTATATCCCAAATGCTGCGTGGGCTATACTTACGCTGAACCATCATTCCTCGTGCGTCTCAAATTCCAACTTAACTGGGCGCCCCGTGTTTGCACCTGTGAAACCAGGGCAGGCCGCCTGCGGGGGAGCTGGAGGGGGGTGAGGAGGGAAACCCCGCGGCCGCCCCCCGCAGCCTGAGCTGCAGAGCATCCCCCGCGCGCCTGCATCCAGGCCCAGGTCCAGGTCCAGGCGCCTCCGCTCGCCAGGCGCCGCAGTCGATCCCAGAGGGGCCGCTCGCGCTTCCGCCTCGCCCAGGCAGCGCCAGCGGCGCCCCGAGCGGCCGCGCCCCGAGCAGAGGGCGTCGCCCGGAGCGGGGCCACACGGGCCCGGCGGTTGGGGCTGTAGCGGCGTCCTGCCGTTCCCTCCCGCGCCACTGTGTCCTCGGGGGGAGCCGGGAACCTCGCTCGCCATGTCGGCTGCGGAGGCGGGGGGTGTTTTCCGCAGAGCCCGGGGCAGGACCCTGGACGCGTTTCCCTCAGGTACGGCCGGCCTTCCGCCGGGGGAGGGGGAGGAGGGGAGGGGGAGGAGGGGGGACTTCGGGCTGCGGCACCTTCCGTCGGCGGAACCGTCGGCGCGGCCGCGCGCGCCTCCAGCCGGACGGCTTCGAGGGCTGCACCTGCCCCGCGGGCGGGAGCCGGGGACCGCAATAGCTGCCGCACCGCCCGCGCCCGGGCCTTCGAGGGGCGCGGCCGGAGAGCAGGTGTGCGGGCGGCGCGGCCTCGCCGGCCTCCGCATCCCCGAGAGAGACCGAGACAGGAGGCGATGCACTGAGGCAGCAAAGCGTGCTTCCCGGGCGCGCGGGCTGTGCACTTCGCTTGCCGGCGGCCCTGCCTTGCACGCGTGCCCCAGCAGGGCGGCTCGGCCTCAGTTTCCCCACCTGCAAACCGGGAAGAGCATCCTCGCTGTTGTTGCGCGCGGCTGTGCCCCTGCAGGCCCCCAGCCTGTATCTTAGGCTCCCGTCGTCCCGCTGGCTTCCTGCAGCATGTGGAGGGCGGGGCAGGGGGCAGGGTGCAGGGTGCAGGGTGCAGGAGCTCCGGAGGGGGTTTGCATTTACTCAGGCTCCTTGTAAAATGCAAAAATGTTACGTCGTTTTGCTTTTTTTTTTTTTTTTTTGATGCATGTATTTTCTTTTTATTTTAAAGATTTTTTTTTTTTAAATTGTTTATTCATGAGACACAACACAGGCTGAGGGAGAAGCAGGCTCCATGCAGAGAGCCCGATCCCAGGACCCCGGGATCACGCCCTGAGCCAAAGACAGGTGTGCAACCGCTGAGCCACCCAGGTGCCTCTTTTCTTTTTAGCTAAATTCAATTTATGAGCATACTTTCTGATGAAGGGTATTCTTGTAATCCAACCTCTGGACCCACTATATACTTATGCAGGTGAGGTGCTAAGTGGATGTTAGCCCTGGGGGCCCAAGGCAGGAAGCTGGCACATTGCTTGTTGCTTGGTCCTCTTAGGTTTTTTGCTGCCTGGAGTCAGGCTCCCCTCCCATGCACTCACCAGTTTTGTGAGCCACTGCTCCCCACCCCCCCACCCCATGGTGCCCTGCATGGTCTGGTGGGTGCGCTCACCTTTCTTGCTTCATGCATGTCGTCCTGACCTCTGCCCCGTTCTGCTGCCACACGGGTTTTCTCCAAGGGCTTTCTTTTCTCCAGCTCCCATCGCTAGTAGCTGGGCTGGTGGAGCCTGGCCCTCTCTTTCTGAGCTTCCAAGCTGTATATAAAGTTCAGTCACTTTCTCAGGGTCAGGTTTTCCCTTGGCTAGCCTATTTTTTTATTCTTTTCCGAAGACTTTATTAGAGAGAGGAGAGAGAGAGAGAGAGGCAGAGGGAGAAGCAGGCTCCATGCAGGGAGCCCGATGGGGGACTTGATCCCAGGACCCCGAGATCACACCCTGAGCCAAAGGCAGATGCTCAACTGCTGAGCCACCCAGGTGCTCTTGGCTAGCCTATTTAAAATACGTTTCTCCTCAAGATTTCAGCCCTAAAACCTTGTTCTTTTCTTCTTTGCAGCTCTTGGTGAGGAGTAGCAAGGTTCTGGAAGACTGTGTTGGGGCCAGAAATGTAGCTGTGGCAGGTTTTAGAAAACATAGTTGGCCGTAGTGCCCATCTTCTAAATAGTTTGATAGGACTTTTTTGCCCAACGTGAGGTTTGGGATTTATCCATATTGGTGTCAGAAGCTCTAGTTCATGCACTTTCCTCCTGGGCAGTAGTCCATTGTACACGTATCTACTGTATACATTCCGTTGCTGAGTATCTTCCCTGAGGAAGGGGTGTGTTACCTGATTGCAGGAGGATGACTATAAAGGGAGGAAAGAGCATCGTGGATGGTGGATGGAGCAGGTGTAAAAATCTGCGGCCTGGCGGGATGCGAAAGGGAAGAGTGGGGGCTGTGGTGTTCTATGAGAAGGAGGATGGTGGTGGGCAGGGTGGGGGGATAAGTAATTGAGGACTTTGGTCTTTACCTAATAGCATCAAAGAGTTTGAAGCTGCATGTGTGAGGAAACAAGGACACTGATCAGATCCCCTTATAACCCTCATACACTCGCTCCTCAAAGCCCCCTTCAGAATTAGCGAAAGCGCCTGGCAGGGGAACCGAAGAGTGCTGTCTTAGTCCATTCAGGCCGTCGTAACCAAGCACTGTGGACTGGGTGGCGTATAAACAACAGATGCTTCTCACCGTTCTGGAGGCTGGAAGTCCAGGATGAAGGTGCCAGCGGGATGCGAATGGGCGCAAACCTTGCTGGTTCACAGACGACCATCTTCTTGCTGTGCCCTCGGGGGAATCGGGGAATGAGCACCCTGGGGTCTTTTCCAAAAGGCATTAATCTCATCACTCAGCCCTACTGACCTCATCACCCCCCCACACACACCCTCCCCCCGCCCCCCGCCCCCCCCGCCCCCCCCCCTGTGAGGCCCCCGCCTCCACATACCATCATGTTGGGGTTTGGGTTTCAACATGAAACTTTGGGGGGCATACAACACTCAGTCTGTGGTAAGCACTTTAAGACTTTCCCCCCTGGTAATTTATAGGAGTGGCAGTACGATGTGCACTTCTTCCGGGAGTATTGTACGTGAAGCTTGGCCTCAGGCATCCGTTCCTTGTTAACACAATCTGCGAGGCTGTTTGTAAAACAGATGTTTGTAAAAAGTAAATTGTACACGTCTCATTTGAGAAAGGTGCACATTCCTCAGGCATGTTCAAATATTCATTTTAATTAGGCAAATTGATAATTATATTTCCTCGACACATACACCCTAATCAAGGCTACACTTTATCCTAGCAAATAATTGTTTTTCTGAAAAGTTCATGACATCAGTTTTGAAGAAATTCTAAAAAGGAGAGCTATCAAGGTAAAATCGGTTTTAAAAATTACCCATGTTTATTTGTTTTCAGGTCCTAAGCTGTTCTTTTTTCCAGTTTTATTTTTACCACCAGAATGTTCCCCCTGCCCCCTTAGAGGATAGGACTCTTTGGTGGTTTTCTTAAAAAGATGATTTCCCTGGACATTTTAAATCTCTGCAGCTGTTTCAGAGGAGCTGAAACAGCTCCTCACCAGTCCTGAATATTTCTCGGTCGCCTCTGGAAACCCTCTCACATGGCAGAATATAAGTGGAGCACCCAAAAAAAATAACTTGCCCCATCTCTTCCAGGTCTCACCTAAGGCCTCTTCTAGAACTACTAGACCTGAAAATGTTTATTGAGGTCTGAATGGGGTCTTGAAAATATTGTATTGGAAAAATTCGAACAGATCAGTGAAGAAAATGAAATAAATGCTTTTAATTATGTCATACGTCCAGGCCAAACCAGTTATCTCTTATTTAAGAAGGGCTCCTGTGCATAAGACAGGAATTTTGATTATTTATCCCCTCCTCATTATTATCATCATCATCATCATCACAAAATTAGTGTGTAAAACATTCTCATCATAACAAGTCTAAGAGAAAAAATGAGCTTTTATTTTTGAGTGTCGCTTTTCTATATTTTAGTGACTTTATCGAGATACCATAGGATTGACTCATTTTAAGTTCACAGTTCAGTGATTTTTAATAAATTTACAGTGGTACAGTGTCAGGGTTTTAGAACCTTTCTGTTTCCCAAAAAAAGAAACTTTGTGCCCATTTACAGTCTGTTCCTGTTTCCACTCCTCAGACAGGCAACTACCAATTTACCTCCATAGCTTTGCCTTTTCTGGACATTTCATATAAATGGAATTACAATCTGTGTTCTTTTATGACTGGCTTCTTAGCATAATCCTCAAGATTCTCTTATGTTGGGCAGATATCAGCACTCTGTTCCTTTTTACTGAATTGACATTCCATTGTGTGGGAAATCATATCTTGTTTATCCAAGTACGTATTGATGTACATTTGGACGTTGGCAGATGTTTCCCAAATGAACACTGGCTGTTAGGAATAAAGCTGATGTGAACATCCACATTCAGATCTTTGTATGGACATATGTTTCATTTCTCTTGGGTATATGCCTAAGATTGGAATTGCTGGGTCATATTAGTACATTAGACATTTTGAGGAACTTCCAAACTGTTTTCCAAAGGAGCTGCGCTATTTTACGTTCACATCACCAAGATATATGAATCCACACCTCCTTATATCCCTGCCAACGCACTTACCACTTGTCGTATCTCTCTTTTTTTATTATAATCAACCATATGGGTGTGAATTGATATCTCATTGTGGTATTGATTTACATTTTCTTAAAGGCTAATGATGTTGAACATCTTTTCCTGTGCTGACTGGCCATTTGTATATTTTTGAAGAAATATCTTTTCGGGTCCTTTGCCCCATTTATAATTGGGTTGTGTTTTCATTGAGTTGTTACAATTCTTTATATATGTTGAATATAGATCCCTTATCAAATCCATGGTTTGCAAATATCTTCTCCAATTCTGTGGATTCAAATATCCAATTCTGTGGATCCTCCTTTCCCTTGCTTGATGATAACCTATGCAGCATCAGAATTTTTAATTTTGATGAAGTTCCAAATTATCACCTTTTTCTTTTATCATTTGTGCTTTTGATGTCCTAAGAGACCTTTGCCTAACCCCAAATCGTGAAGATTGACTTCTGTGTTTCTTCTAAGAGTATTCTAGTTTAAACCACTACATTTAGGTGTAGGTCCATATTGAATTAATTTTTATGAATGGTGTGGGGTAAGGGTCTAATTATTAGAAAAAAGATTTATTTATTTATTTTTTACTACAGTAGAAACCTAGTAGTTGGTCAAAAGAAAAAATGAGCTGAAGAGGGGAATTTAAAAAAATACACATTCTTTTAACATTTATTTTTAATGTAATCTATAAATGTACATTCATTTACCATTCTTTTGAGGTCGGGCCAAGGACTTGTCTTAGAGTATTGGGTTTACTGATGGGCCTGCCATGGAGTCTTTCTTGCATAAACAACACCCATAATGAATCTTTTCCAGTTTGGGTTTTTTCCAGTGGAGTAGTCAG